CCCCCCCCCCTGGAAAGTTAAACAATTTTTTTGCCCCCCCCCCCCAGAAAGTTTTCTGCGGGCGCCCATGTGACCAATCATAGATCTTTTAAATAGCTTATTTGCCTACTATGACTCACAATTGTCGAGAAAAAGTCAATCCACTTGCATAGGAAGGGGCTGTGGAGGGGGTGGTCCACACAGGTGCCACTTTTTTTAAATTTATATTGAGGGGAGGCATTTTCGGCGAGCTGAAGTTTTTTTTTTTTTTTTTTTTTTTTTTTTTTAAAACTTAGTGGTAATGGGTGGCACAACTTTCTAGTTAACATATCGCAACATATCCCTGGTCCGCTCGAAACGTTTCCCAGATCTGCTCATTATGAGGGACACTTAACACATCACCCAACGCTTGGACATTGGTCGCTCTCTCAGTCTCTGTTGTTGGTGGAATTCAATTACGTAGTCGAGTCTCTCGCTTCGCACCTTTTTTTTGCCCATGCGCCGTTTCCCTGATCTGGCCTGCTGATAACCGGTACCAAAGTCATTCTCTGATACACTAAAGTAATACGTCGGCATAGCTAGAGCGACGTGGCCTCCACGGCCTTGCCATGTTTCTGTTTTGTAAGGCTGTGGGCAGCAACGCTGTCTCCGCGGCTTACCCGTGTATAGGTTTACTTTAAGCAGATTTCTGATCGTTAATGCTGCATAAACTTTATGGTTTGTGTCCACTGCGGTGGACGCGCAAATGAACGCAGGCCAAGTAAACCCACAACTCACCATAACACATCCAAAAACAGGACTAGTGAACCAACGGACAAGTTAACACGCAGAAAAGTGAATACCGGTATATAGAACATAGACAGCTGAACCCAACAACTGGGTTTGAAAAGACCTTGCTGAGATAATTGTCATTCTTGACTTGTTCTTGTAAATTTATTATCACTGCTAATTCGCAATGATTGGTTCCGAAAGATTTCAGCTACTTTTATAAATATGTAAATGTTTTTAATGTGCTGAAAATTATTTTACAAAATTGTATAAATAACCATTTTTATTATATTTCTTGGGCAGATTTTTGTTTCCTAAACTGAGTCTATTGATTTCTTATTAAAAAAAAACATTAACATGCTCAACAATATTGTTTAACATTTGTAAAAATATCTAGAAAATTCTTATCTTTTTATGATAATTTCACATTGATATGCTTTAAATTTCATTTTATTTGACTCCTATATTTCTAATATTGCTTAATTGATTTTTTTTCTCTTTTTAAAGTGGTCCATTTAGGATTTTCCATTTATCTCTGAAGTCAAATGCGTTATGAGGAAAAGTATCATTACCACATGCTTCAAAATTTGCAAGGTTTTTTATATTATATTCTCTGCATAATGATTGAATTTTTTTTTTATTTCATGTCTCATAAACAAAATTCCGAAGTTTTTATGATCTTATTATTTTTTTTAGACTCGAGGCTAGTGGGTTGTTGGGAAAATGCATTAATTTATATTCTATCAATTATCGCTATGTACTTCAATTGTTTTTTTTTAATTAACGAGTGGAATGTATTCATGATGTATGCATCCAATGTTGTTCAAATAACCTTTCATTTTTTTAATAAGCATTTGTCAGTGTCTTTTTCAGCTTTTATCGATATAGCATTTTAATTTTTTTTTTCTGACGTCAATTGATGAATCAGGTGGAATAGTTTTGGCAACTACATAATTGAAACTTTGCATGCTTATTTATATTGACATTTTCTACTTAATGATGGATGGTTTTTAAACAAATTTCTCAAAGGAAAATTTTTCAGAATTTTTTTATTTATGTATTTTTTTTTTTATTAGGTTCGTGTGTTAATTTTTTTTTCTATCTTTTCTGTCTTAGTTTTCTAATTATTTTTTAATTCATGAATGATATATTTACATGGTGTATGCATCCTATATCGTTCATGCAGCCCTCTTATTTAAAAAAACACAATTTTATACTCTATTTCATTTTTCTCAATTTTGCATTTTCCTGATTTTTTAGGAACGCCAAATGAATTGGGAGGAAAAGTATTCTAGCTACAGCCTTCAAACATTGCATGCTTCTTTCATTGATATTCTTTACAAAATTCAAGAGGCTTTTTTTTTATATACCGGGTATATCCAACTAGAAAAGGTTTATAACATTTTAACATTTGCTACTCCTGAAGAGTTCTCGAATATTTATGTGACCCCACATACATACTATTTGTAACACTTCCAATAACTGCTGTGTAATAAGCTTCTTTAAACTTTATGTCAATGTTATTCTTAATGTGTATGCCAAGTTTCATTTAAAATACAGTACAATAAGTTACAATACAATGCAATACAAATTTGTCTTTATTCATTTTGCGTGAAAGTCAAAATTGGTATAAAATGTTTAATTTTTTGCAATAAAAGTCACAACAATTTTTTTTAAAATAAACTTTAGTGGATTTTTGTCTTTCTGTTTGTGTATGGTTTGTAGGTACTATATTTTTTTCAATGGCTCTATTTATTTAGGGTTATCAGTATTTTATTTTCAATGTGGCATGACTTAGTTGCCTTGAAACAAAACTCCATTCACAGATCACATATATTTGCTCCCACTCAATCATTACATCTGTACTTAAATGAAGAAATGATAGAAACAATAGTATGGGTACCAACGAGGAATGTGAGAAAGTAAAAGGAGACAAATGACAAAGGAATGATGTGACCTAATTGAATGAGTTTATTGGCTGCCTACTTCTTACTGGCCCCTAATTTATTTTATGGATTACTTGAGTACACAACTCAAATAACTAACAACCAAACAAAAATGTTCTCAAGTCAGTTAAGTTTTTTTTTTTATATTAAATTTTAAATTATGTACCAGTGTGTTAGACCCAGTAGACAGATATGGTAAAAAAAAAAGACGAGTCCTCCAAAAATAAGTCTCTTTCTCATGCTTTATACAATGGCATCCATTAACTTTAAGATGTTCATTGCAACTACCTTGTGAACTAGGTCAAGTCAAATGAGAAAAGTTGTTGAAAGGAGATTCGAGATATCAGAAAAAACAGTCAGTGTCTGCATGTATGACTCCCAGTGCCAAGGAAAAAGTTTAAAATTGGTGGTTTTGTTCTGACTAAGCCAAGCTCTCTAGAGGAATAGTTGAAATTAATTCACTATGAATGCAATTTTCATTATTTAGAATACCTATTAATTCATAAAGTACTGGGTGATTAAATCTTTTAACTTAACCAATGCACATAAATAATCTTAAATAAAGGATTTAATTTTAATAATTAAATTAATATTATTACTTTTCTAAAATCCAAATGAAAACAATAATTGTATCTAAATCATCTTCATTACTAGATTTAAAAAAAAAAAAAATGATCTACGAAAATGGCTTAAACTAAAAAAGAAAATAGGAAAGAAAAAAATCTACCCGTCCTAAGAGAAATTAACATAGCAAAAATAAAAAAAACAACTAAAAAGAATAAAACTATGAATCTATGAAATAACAAGGAGAAAAAACAGTTTAACAAAAATAATTATCATACTATTATTGTTATCACACCCGGCTCCGAAGCCATTTAATCTGTATGGAGCCACTCCGGGTGCGAATAGTCATTTGCGATTAAAGGTGCCCGGGTACCTATAGATGCAGCCTTGAGGATTGTTTGGCGGGAGGAGTTATTGAAAACTGTGACTCAATGTGAGTACCATGTTGTTATGAATGTGGTGTGTATTTAAAGTTTACACAACACAACCGAGACTAGTCAATAAATTTTTTTAAACAACCTGTTACTAGTCTATTTGCATCATGCATGATTATGAAGCCGTGAGGTTAAAAAACTTAGAAGATAATCGTCGAGTTTTAGCTTCTTTTGGATTGCTGGACCCGGTACGAACTCAAAACTGCATCTGCAAATTACTCAACATCAACACACTTTACTGTAAACTTTACTTCACTTTACACAAACTCATTCAAGTCACACTCGCCCCCTTTTCTCTTTCCCTGAACTCTGAGACTCTCCCCTAGATTTGCTGATGCTCTTAAAATAAGTTTACTACTACTCTAACGAAATTAATTAGATTTAGATCATTTAATTTAGTGATTTCCACTGATGCCCTTCTAAGGAGGCTTCTTTGCTTTGACTTTGATTATCCTACTGCTTTTTAATTTTAAGTAACATTATTTTTTAACAATGAATGTAAAAAAGTTCTAATACTAATTAACATTATAACTATTGCTAGAAAGTATTTTACTATTAATATTAATGCATCAGTCTAAGCTAAATAGTCTGTCAATACAAATAATGTTATGTGATAGTTCTGTTTCTTCTCTTCAACAAGTTACCAGTTACTATTTGAATTTGGGTTGGCCTAGGGTGACCAAATGTCCCGTTAAAACAGGACTGTCCCGTTTTTTCACGATCGTACCTGGTGTCCCAAAAAAGTCTCTCGGGATGCCTAAATGTCCTATTTCTAAAACCAAGCACATTTTCAAATCACTAAAACTTCCTAATTTATAATATAACTTCAAGTAATATTTTGGCCAGCTGTGTAGCCAGTGTTGATGTGGGCTCACGTGATGGCTGCCCTGTTCCCCCTCCACCACTCTGCCGACGCTGTGTAAACCACAGTGTCCCTGCCATAGATCTTATATGCATAGCAAAAGACACAAGACTTGAAGCCGCAAGGGGGGGGGGGGGGGACGTAACTGCGCAGAAACCAATTTTGATACTGCTACATGTAATGTGTTAGTCTTACGTGTGATCCCTGCCAGCCTGTTCGTGTCAGAGTGACAGGTGTTTGTTTTGGGTGGTGAACTTTATTCTTTAATTTTATATTATCTTCTCATATAGACAATAATTATGCCCAAGCGTCAATGAAAGTTTATGAAGGAGCATTCCAAAGAGTGGAACTATATTAAAAAGGGACGCTATGACAGTGAAGCCCAGTGCACAGTTTGCACTAGTGTTTTTAGTATTGGTCATGGTGGACGTTCAGACATAAAATAAGACATCACATCAGTGAAACATAGGAAAAGACTGAGTGCCCCAAGTAGCAGTATGTTTTTTAATAATTATTTTATAAAACATGATTCCCATGAAGAAACGAAAGTTAGAGCTGCTGAACTAACTAGGCTTCCATACAGTAAAGCACCATCACAGCCTTAGGTCAAATGACTGTGTCAACAAGTTGAACAGTGTTATGTTCAGTGACTCATCAATTGCGTTAATATTTAGCTCTTCCAGAACAAAGAAATCAGCCCTGTTAATTGGTGTTTCAGCTCCATTCAGCTTGAAAACTAGCATTGAAGAGATGAATAAATTCCCTTTTTATGGCATTTCAACTGATGCAAGTAATCACAAGACTACACAAATCTTTCCTTTTGTAGTTCAGTTTTTTGACATAAATGAAGGGATAAAGTCAAAGTTACTGAAAGTAGTTTCTTGCCATGTGAAATGTCAGATGAGATATCTCGTTTCTGCTTGAACTGTATTGATAAATTCAAGTTAAATAAAAACAGTTGCATTTTGTCGTGACAATACCAACACAAATTTTGGTGGTTTGAACAGAGTGGGGGGAAAAATGTATATGCAAAATTAACAACTAATTTACATGGTGGTATTGAAGGTGTGGGTTGTCCAGCACATGTACTGCATTGCATATGTGCAGCTGCTGATTAAGCTGTGACATTGTTAAGCTGTGACATTGAAGTTATTGTTAACTCTGCTCTTATTTTTCTGTATACACCATGCAAAACTCAAGTTGGTGGTCTGTAGTTAAATTTCAGCCAAAGGCCAGTCAAGCAAAAAGTCACCCCCGGATGGATGAGACTCGTTAACCTTGGTCGCCAACTCATCTAAGAGAAGGAAACTCTGAATTCAAACCTGGAGTTGGAGTCCCGTAAGGCGCATACAATGACAATTCCTGCAACATACCCATCCCTGGTCGTCTTGCCACTGGATAAGTGGGCCCGGACGAGAGAGTGAGGTTGACGCCGCGCAACTCTTCCTCACTTTAAACAAAAGTCACCCGTGCAAGTCATCAGTCACCGGACAACTTGATGGTCCTAGTCAATCTTTGATGGACGAGCAACAAAAATACACCATGCAAAGAGAGGCTAAAAGAATTATGAGAAATGGTTGTCGAATCTGGCACTATTTTGGCGTATTCAAAAACTTGTTGGCTATCTTTGATGCCTGCAATAGATCGAATTTCAAAGCTGTTTGATGGTTTAAAGGATTTCTTTTTAAACAAGGCAAAATATTGAAGGAAGTACAGAAAGTTTTATGGAAGTAAATGATGTATTGGAATGTACTCTCAGAGCTTTGACCAGAAGAAAAGAGGAAAAGTTTTTATCTTTTTCATTTAGTGAAAAATCCATTCTTAAACGGGCCAATTTTACGCAACAAGACGAAATTAACTTCAAAAATGAAGTTAACGAGTTGTATGAAACCTGCATAAAATATCTTAAAGAATGGATTGTACCATTCTCTACCTTTCTCAAAATTCAAATGGATGCTTTTGAAGGCTATCCCAGTTGGGAAAAAATTGAAGAAACTATTTGTTACTTCGACAAAAAAAGTATTGAAATAAATGATACTTTGCTATTTGATCAACTGGCATCGTTAGCAGATTTTGTAAGTGAAAATATTAAAGACTGGACTGATGAAGATAAAAAACACCCCAATGTCACGAAAAGTGGATTTGTTTTTTCAAAACCCGTACTAGGCCAGAACGGCACTCTGAATTTGTTTAAATATGCGTTTGCGATCCCTGCCCATAATGTTAATACTGAAAGTATCTTTTTGCTCATGAACATTCAATGGACAGACAAAAGAAACAAGATGAGAGTGGAGACCTTTTCTGCAATCCGGCAGGTTCTCTACAATTTCAAAATGGACTGTTCTAGTTTTTACAACTTTATATTTGATAAGTAGGTTTTAACAATGGCTGGGACAACAGCCAAATATCCTCAATTTAAATTCTAGACTAGAAAAATTTAATTTGTTGCTTGTATTATGTTGTAAAATATGTATAAATAAATAAGTATTTACTGCAAAATTATTGTTTTCGTTTATGATATGCCTCAGAGTTTAAATTAAATTACAAAAGTGAAGGTAAATTTAAAAAGATTTCTAGGTCTCAAAATAGTTAAATGAGCATATTTCAATAAATAGTTTCCAGCGGAGGCCCGCAGACCCCTCTATAGCTGGAGGTTAACCCTCCTTGAGTGCGTCCCGTTTTTTCCATTTCATGATTTGGTCACCCTAAGTTGGCCCATAGTCCTATCCCTCACACACAGTTACAGTTTCAATAATCTAACAATGACAAAGTCATCAATATTGAAAACTGAAAAGGCATATATGAGCATGGTCCTAAAATCACGACTTCACTTGTCAACAGTATTGAGTAGTACTGGTTGACTTACACAGACCTGTTTACTCTTACAATTTTGGCGTACAATGTATGATTTTGAGATGTCTTTTACGATTGTACGCCAAGACCTGACAGAATTACGATTTTAAGAGACCGAATTAAAAACATATACATTCCGTTTGTTTTTTCCCGCTATAAAAAAAAAACTATTAAAAGTACATTTTCGGTTTTTTAGTTTTAACTTGCATTTGCATTCTAGTAAATTCTACATCAACAGTGAATGGATCGAGAAATATGATTGTTTAGGGCCATCTGTTATTAGATTACATTTGCTCTGAGAGGGGAATGGAGTGGTGTTGATTTAGGAGATTTTATGTGGGAGGGGAGGTCTAAATATTTAAGTCTATAAAATTAAAACCACCACATTTACTTAATGATAGTCGTGATGATCATATTGTTGCTTTGTGTGTTTCATAATTAACTCACTAAAGTGTAGTTGCCTGAGTCAGTTTTAGTCAATCCTTACATTCTCAACTGTTCCTGGGTAGCAACATTAGATTTTTACATATTTTATAGGATTTTAGAAGGCTGTTGAAATTGAAATCTATTTTTTGGATCGCACAAAAAAGCTTTAAGATTTTTATTACCCTTATTGTTTGGTTCCAACAGTCTTGGACATTTCTCTTCTTTTCACCCATTTACAGCTTGTGATATTTAACAGACAATAATTATAAAATATTAGCAGGAAATAGGCAGTTGATATTAATTCTTATTTTTTTCTGACCGCAGATTGCAATATAAACGTCGGTCATAAACTTTTAGACGTTACCTTTTTTTGACACCATTTTAACTCATCATGTAACTAGACATGTAATGAGAGTAGTTTTTATTTTCATTGTATATACTGTATGTTTATTTATTTACTATTTAGATACTGTATTGTACGGTTTTGAGACAATATTGTACAATTTTTGGAGTTCTGGGGTAAACAAGTCTGATATATACATTATGTACATTTAATTTATGCTTGTATGAATGTTTTTTTGTTGTTGTACTGATGAAGGCATTTGCCGAAACGTTTGCATTTGTTTTTTGTATTCTGTGTAACCATATAGTTTAACCTATATTTTTTTATTTACACAAATTGTTTGTGTCTCATTAGTTTACTTCAAAGATTTATTGCAGTCCAACACTCTTATTAAAATACACAAGATTAGAGAGTGTAATTACACATTTTAAATATCTTTTTTCTTGTTAAGTGGAACATTAGCATAAACACCTCTGTCAAAATAGGATTCTGCTGATTTGGAAATTATCTTTATTACAGTTTAAATCTCTACCTAGTATCATTAAAAAGCGAAATGCATTGACAGTAAAACCAGCCCCGTCTAGGAAAAGACCAGCACCTTTTGAATTAGACAGTTTTGTTGGTGGATCAGTATATGGCACAATACGCAAGTCAGCTCGCCTTCACCTTCAAGGAAAGGTACAATACGTATAAGTTCAATGCACTGAATTCTTAGTTATAGATAGGTTTATCCTTAGCATAGTAGATATTGTGAAATAAATGTTTAAATTGTAAGCTTTAGATAATGTAAATGATTAAATGTCACATTTCTTGTGCTTATTTAAGAAAATTAAAAGGCAGGGACTACCTAATGACTTCACAACCTTGTTTCTACCAAAGGCTAAGACCCTTGAGCTCTGTACAATTGGGATTGATTGGGAAATATTTCTGTTACAAGTACCTAAATACAGTTTGGCAAGACTTGGCATTGATTCATTTAAAGCCAGATTATCCTTAGGACAAATTATTTTGGGGATTTGCTTGTAGCAAGGATATGTGCCTGAGATGTGATCCTGTATAAAAAAAAACTCCAGTGTGATGTCATAGCTTTAGGATGAGTTTGTGGGGTTAAAGGGGCATTTGACTGAGAAAAGTTTGAGTACCACATTATTCAATGTTCAAATAATTCCATTATTTACAAATTAAATAAGTTGGTCAAGAGATTCATTATGCTATGGTTCATTGTGACTTCTCCCAAGGATGCGAATGAAGAAGGAGGATCTCTTTATGTAGGACTTGATGATTGTGAGGAAGAAAATGAAAAATCAGCATCAAAAGTTCCAGCACATCGACCAAATGTTTATGGTGCAATACCAGGTATTTTCTTAATTTGGTTTTAGAATATCTATCCATATATATACTAATTTCAAGCTTTTTTTTTTTTGGATAAAGATCAATCACAGTTACATTTGGTTTTTTTAAATGTATTTAATCAATTTTTTTTAAAATTTTGTATGAACAAGATATTCTTGTGGGAACAGCTTGGAGTACTCGAATGGAATGTTGCAGAGATGGGATTCATAGGTAATTTACCAATTATTATTCCAAAAGGCCTTGGAGTTGGAGTAGGGAAGAAGTTTGAGTAGTGTAGGTAAATATTTAATGAGGTGGTTTAAATATTTTAAAGTGCAATGAAGAATTTTAATATAATATATTTATCTAATTTAATTTACACAAATGGTTTTAATTGTTGAAATTTTTCATAATTAAAGCTTACCATAATTTTTTTTTATTTACACAAATTGTTTATGTCTCATTAATCTACTTAAAAGCTTTATTGCAGTCCAAGACTTTTATTAAAAGATTTAAAAGTGATATCTGCAAATGTAACTCTTAGTAGTCTTAGTCTTAATCTTTAATTTATTATGACTTAACCTTAGTTTGTTGTCTAAAAGTTATTAAATCTTCAGACCTACAGTAGCTGGTATTCATGGAGGAGTAAATGGGGCATACTCAATAGCTCTTTCAGGAGGTTATGAGGATGATGTTGACTTGGGGGAATGTTTTACTTACACAGGAGAGGGTAATAAAAAAGTATTTCTTCTTCTGTGATTTTTGAGCCTATTCATTCAGAAATGCTTTCCATATATAACTTTGCTCTGAGTTATTCTTTTGATTCTCTTGCTCACTCTGTCAAAAATTATTTTTAGATTTAAATCAAATCAACTTTAAATCAAATATTTTGAATAATTTGTTAACTTTATAAATCTTTAACATGAGAACCGTTCATCTTTATATTTTAATTTAGGTGGACGAGATTTAAAGGGTACAAAGGCAAACCCAAAGGTAAAGAATATTTTAGCATTCTCAGTCTTGTTCGCTTTGAAAATTAAAGCTGGGTTTTTGTGTGATATTTTTAAAAATAAAAAAAATAAATCTATCATGTAATTGATGAGGTGCTAATGAATGTAAAAGGCAAATCCTCAAATTTCCCATAGAATCTTAGAACAGCTCCACAGAGCAAGGACCAGACTCTGACTAGAGGAAACTTAGCTTTGAGTAAAAATGTAGAGACAGGAAATCCAGTCCGTGTCATTAGGGGCTACAAATTGGACAGTCCATTTGCACCAGAAGAGGGCTACAGATATGATGGTGAGAGACAATATGTAACTATAAATTAATTATTTTTTTTACAACATAACAGGGAACAGTATCAAAACTTGCTAATTGTATTTATAGTAAGAGTTGTTGTGGCTTAGGGCCATACATAAATGAAATGAGATCAAACAAATTTTTTTGACCCCACCCCACCCCCAATTCACCACAAAAGGTAAGGGTCTTTCTTTCCCCCCCCCCCCCCCCATTTTTTCCTTCCTTTCTGTCCACTAATGTCCTTTATAAACCCTTTAAAAAAATCACCTCCCATGGATATTGTATTACTGCACCTGTGTCAAAAACATTTCCCTGAAACAGGGTTGTGTGCAAGACCCAGAAAATTGTATTTGCTTCCACTTCCAGTGCTAGTTGTTGCTGCCTTTAAAAAGGAAATATTTTTTATCCATTTTTAACAGCAGTAAATGTTTTTCTGGTGAATTTTGTTTGGGCATTACTTGTATTGTTTGTTTTTTTTCCATTTTCTATAAAGTTAATTAAAGAAATAAAATTACAATAACTAATTTATTTTATTATTTTCATTTCAAAATTTTATTTCAATATCTTTATGGGGGTAAGGTGGAAATGTTAAATGTTTTTAAATTGAGAGAGGACGCAGCGCTGCAAAATGGTTAGAATAATCCCATGCCTTAGAACATTTACTCAGATCACCAGTCCCCTACACATACCGCACCCTTACAGTTGTCACTATACCAATTGAGGCTACACCCCTGGTTTAAAGACTTGCATCAAGGGAATAAAATACAACCTATACTTTTGAACAGTTCTTTAATCCTAAAACACTTAAGCAACTATATTGTGTGATAAAATAATACAGCAATAGTACTGTACTAGACACAATAGCTGATCCTATGAGTATGAGTCATATTATTAAAGTGTAATATTGAAATTCTATGGAAAATTAGAATAAGACTTCTATTCTAAAGACATTTTAATAATTACACTTCAGTATTATTCTATTATTGAAGGCCACAAAATCTATTACATTTGTTATAGTTATATTGCTAAATTTATGAATTATTTGAGATAAAATTAAAACCTGGAGGTGTTATAAAAAAAAAATTATAATAGATTTGGAATTAATTAATGCTTTAACTAAATTTCTTATATGAAACTTGCAGGTTTATACACTGTAGAGAAATGTTGGTTCACAACAGGATTGTCAGGACATGGAGTCTGGAAATTTGCTCTCAAACGATGCACTGATCAAACGCCACCACCATGGCAGTATGCAACGGTAAGATAACTTTTATAAAAAAAATTTAATTGGATTTCAAATTGAAGTTCTATGTTTGAACACTCTTATAAATTTTCATCGCAGTTAATTTTAAAATTAAAGGTTGACCAGAAATAAAATGTACTGCTTAGTAATAATAAAACACTCTTGTTAAGCATTAATAATAGTGTTAATTACGTGTCAAAGTTTAAATTGTGTTAAAAGTTAAAAGAATTAAATCTGCCTCTTACTCTTAGTACTTAAAGTAAAAGATAATATTTGAAAGACTGCATTCAAGCTGTGTGAATGAAATAGTAATATAAAGTTAATAACAGTCATATTTAAAAAGAATATATTTATGTGTTATATCATTTTCAAAATTTTAATTATTAAAACTCGGACTTTTTATATTATTGGGTTAAGTATAGGATGGATATGCTAAATTGCTATATTAATTATTATTTCCGAACAAGCAAAGACTGTCTAAGTAACATTAACTGACAGCTTATTAAAAGGGCTGGATGACCATCAACTTGCATGTTGATTGAATGCTGTGGTCAGTGTGAAGTCATATATTCTGTGGCCACCTAAACCCAATATTGTTAATAACTGAAAGTATATTAAATATTAGCTCTAAAAATCCATCAACCAAACTTTTGACTTTTACTTCAGCTTTAAAAAAATATTACCAGTATTTCCTGTTATTAGAATTAGAGGAATTTAGTTAATAATTACAACTTTACTGTAAAACTAAATCATTGATTCATTATTATTAGTAACACTAGTTAAGAATAATTATTTCTAAACTTTTCCACTCATAATTTTAACTCAGATTTATACCCTAAAATTTATAACAGGAGAATTAGACACTAATACATATAAACAGTGTTGTACATTTATGGTATCGATAGCCAGATGTAGCCCTTAGCAGTATCATAAAAAGCATCACAATTATACTGCTAAATCTAATAAAATTTCTACATCATTAAAATCACCTTTTAAATTAATAGTATGAGTATGATTGATTAATTTGGTTTAACTAAAATACCAAAGATTATACTACCATTATTTACTACATTCAAGTACAAGAGGTTTTTATTTGATTTACATTCAGGATCCTGGGTCACCAGCCAAGTCCTCAGTATCTAGTGATGAAGGAAAAACCGGGGAAGAAGATTCTCAAACCTCTACTGGAAGTGATGAAACCAAGACCAGAAGGATTGATTAACGAAAGACATGCCATTGTAAATCACTGCACTTACACTTAGTGGATTTGTCATTCATTCCAATTGTTCATACATTCTAAAAATCATGTTGCTGTACTATTGGTTGAGAAATGTCTTTACCTCAGCTTTTGCTTTTTAACCAAAATAAATTTCTTATTCTTTAAAGCTCAACTTAATTGTTATGAAATGCTGATTTTAGAAGAACATTTTAATATGCTAAGTTTTAGTAGCACAAATAAGATTAAAGAGTTTTATTTTAATAAATATTTAGTACATATTTTTATATATTTTTATGTACCCATGCTTTTTACAAGTAATGAATTGCTTGGAATAAATTTTTGTTATTTTTATATTCAATTAACTTCTTAAATACTTTGTATTCATAGTGAATGGAATCTCCGACTGCTTGTGTTGTTCTGTGGGAACTTATTTCATATAACATTTAGATTTATATTATTAGAGAAAACAGAAAAACTGTTGAAAAAAAGAAAAGCATGGATGTATGGATGATGCATGCACATTTCAATTTTAAGCATCAGCCAATGAAAAAATGGCACAAAAAGGAACTTGTATAGCTACAGGTGATTGAAACATTTTCCTTTTTACTGGGAACAACCAATAGGAATCAGCTAAATAAAGCCCCAACAAATTTTTTTGTGGCAAAAAGGATATTTTCTTCATTTTCACTGAAATTTTTACTTAGGCTACTAAAAGGACAACAAAATTTGTGTATTACTACAGCCAAGACTTGAATTTCATGCAATAATCAACTTTTAATGTGAAAATAAAATTGAAATTTTATGAGCAATATTTATATATATATACATTGGAAGACACACATGTGTATCAGATAATTTCATCCTGATGATTTATTTTACAAATTTGTTATATTTACTGGATTCCCTTTGGGCAATGACAATAATTTATATATTGAGTCTTAATGAGATCCAGTTCTTTTATTAAATGTTAAAACTCATTTATGTATTTTTTTAAAATAAATTATAGAGCACCTTTCGTCCTAATGTGAGGGACAAAACTAATTTTGGCTGGGTTGATTGGGAAATTAACCTCTGCAAAACAAAAAAATTGTTTTTAAATAATAGCTAAGAAGGTCATTCATCCTCCATTGATACAAAATGTTTTGGGGGTTTATTTTGTACCTCAAAGATGTAATTCATTATCTTCCTTCTCCTCAAGAATTTTATGAAGATCTGCCTCCACAGCAGCTGTAATAAGATTGTGAATCTCCCGGACTGCTAGGTGCTCATTGTTTTTCTCCATCTCATTGTTTGGCAACTGAAGTTTGTGAGCTAGTGTCGCTATGCCATTTCTGCCAATCTCTGAATAGACCAGTTCCCAGTGACCAGGAATATGTGGATTATAGTGACCAAATATAATGTCATCTTCCAACACAGACTTTCTTGGGCCACTTTGAGCTTGCTTCTGTTCTTTTTTGATGTATTTGTGGTTAGATTTATTTCCTACTTTTTCTGGTGCAGTATTTGCTCTAATGGAAAGCAACATTTTAGGTTTGTTCTTACCTTTCTTAGCTTTCGCATCACCGTGGTCCCCTGCATCACTGGGCTTGTTATTCTTATCAATGATGGAGCGTTTCTCTCTGGGGTTGATGTCTTTGCCCTTGATGTTCATCTCAACATTTCTGTCGGCCCTCGTTTCATATTTTTGTTTTTTATGCATCACTCCTTGGTCATCACGGGGTTTGCGCTGTGGCACTGTTTTACGGCCATTGTTGTGCAATCCACCCACAACAGGATTTATTTTATCACCTTTATAAGGAGCTGCCCTCGATCTATTTTTGAACCCTGTAGACTTTGGCCATTTCAAATGTCCATATGGATGATTCTTCCGACTCCATTTGATATTGCTATTTGCATTGTGAGCCTTCCTCTCAAAACCTGTCTTTTCATTGGGTTTTGCCTTCCTGCTAGTGTAGAATAATCGGATTGCCTTTATATTAATTCGAGGCTTGTGTTTTTTTCTGTCAGGGATCTTTGCAGTTCTGCCTGCATTTCTTCTCTGCCTTCTGTCATCATCTGGTGCTGTAAAGAGGTACTTTCTATCCAAGCTACGGTAAACCCTTTTGATAGAATTTTCTTCTTCATGTTTACCAGTTAGCCGTTTGAGATTTTTGCCCATCTTAACACTGCGTTTCCTCCTCAAACGTTTCTGCTTTGCTACACCTTTCTTACCTTCATTTAATCCTCCTTTCTCTTCTTCAACATGAGCCAGTACAGAACGTTTGACGATCCTGTTATTATCAGCATCAAAGTACTGTACAATGACTTTGTCCACAACTGCACTTTTATACAAGGAGCATAATTTGGCCGTGAGGTAGCCAGCAAACGTGGTGTTCTGCAAGTTGTCATCCAGTATGTGACGCAGCACTCTTCTAATGGGAGCGATCTGATCCAGTGACGTCTTGCAGACCGGTATCCCTATCCTCATGTCAAGGCTCCAGGGGTATTCTTTGGGACATCCTGACACTTCTAGGTCCCTCATGTCAAAAATCAGGCATCTCTGATCATCATGTTCCACTATAGCTGACCACTTGGTACTGCGAGCGATTAAAAAGTTATTTATTAAAATGTTTTAAAGTCATTTATTCTTTGTTATCCATGGAACTGTTAGCACTAGACTATGTCCAATACAAGATAAAAATATACATATACTTGGAAAATTTGCAGTTATCAATAGTTCCTCAGATCTCGAATTGAACAATTACATATTTCAAGCTCTCAGTGAACTGTAAAGCACCTAGATCTCTATGTACAATCAAATATTAATATTTTGTTGTCCATAAACTTAAGATACCTGCCAAAGGGGCACAAAAAACGGATCAAGAAGAACCCCAGTTATAATTGGTAATTAACAGACATTTTTCATAACTCTTGCTTTATGCAGACTTCTCTCCAGGTATGATATTTAATTGTCCAGCCACCTAACCATTGTGCAGACACAAACATGTCAAAACACTGAATTTAAATAAGTCACAATGAATGAATGACATTGGTCATGAATTAACTATGGTTAATGTAAATTAATTTTTTTTATTATCTGAACTCAATTAATTAGTAAAGCACTGCTTTGTGTGTTGAACTGAATTAAATCAATGGAAATAATTTTCTTTAAATCATATTTTACATCGCAATTACCTGAGATCATGTATGATTTCAGAATTATCTATCCCTTCATCCATAATTGACCTGCGATGAATGCATCGATGTCCATCAGATTCACTTCTAGTTTCAATCATCTGGTTTATATTTAAAAGCAATCACTTATTTGTAAAACATCAATATATCACCATTTACAATTGTGGTTGATATAGATTAGTTATGTACTTTAAAAAAAATTATTGAAATATACTTACATGTAGGCCTAAGCATGGCTATTTTTTTTACATGGCAATAACATTTCTAGCTATACAATTCCTTCTAACAAAGAAAAAAAAAATGGTGATCCTTAAACTAGCATAATTAAAATGTAATGTTTCTTGCTTAGAACCCTACCTCAATGCTCTTAAAATCTCTCATCCTCTTGCTTTTTGTTTCACATTTACCAGATGGTTGGCAGATAACGGACTCTGATGTTCCTCGTTCTACAACCATCAGATAAAAAAATGTTACTCGTTGTTAACGACAGTAACAGAGTACACATTTCAATTTAAAAAAAACAAACAAAAAAACAATTTTTATTCCTGCTAGTATGAGGGATGATTATGAAAAAACACTAATAACATTTACTTCTGAAATAATTTCAACAAATGTAAATAAAAATTCAATATTGTGCTAAATTTTTTGGGAAACTCTGTGCTAAAGGAAGAAGGCAGGTCACATACTTTGTTATTTATGACATAACTAACTAACATACATGACATATTCTGGTAGACGCTCCAGCTTACGCTCTTAAAGACCCGGCTAGTCCAGTATCAACCTGCTCCATCTGTTGGGCAGTGCCATATAAAATTGTCTGAATGTAGGCATCTCCCACCATCGTGGCCTCCCCTGCAACATCCAGTGCGGGGCACGAAGTCAGCAGACTGTGTCTGGGGCCAGCTTAAATTCTGGCAGGTCAGGTCACTGTTGTCTTTCCTGTTAAAGTATGAGTTAGTAGGGCAATGTTCCGTTCACATTTGGGTCACCAGACTCTGGTGTTGGAGACCCAGTTTCCACCGGGAGTCCGTTCTGCTAGGATGTCGGCATATACACCTCTGGCTTCCGTACTGTCTTCCCACTGTTCGTGCCACTTTGTCCTTAAAGTGGTCCGCTAGCCAGTTTTTGACACCGCGATAAGTGACCGGTGTTTCTAGCTGGCACTGGGCAGTCCCTGTTTTCACCAGCGTGCCCGCTCTTTCATTGCCCTTCACGTTTACGTGGCTTGGAACCCTTTGCACACGGGCACTAGCATGGAATGTGAATGAAACAACAGAACCAAAATAACTTATCGCTTGTACCTAACACTATAATTACCTCTAAAAAGAAAGTTATCATGTAGACTATTGACCAATGTAATAGCCACACAGACAATCAGGGCAAACAGAGAAGTGATCAAGAGGAGCCAGAGAATGTTCTTCAGGCGCTGTTGGTTCAAGTTCTTGGTCTGGTTTAGGATCTTCTTCCTCTTGGATTTGGCATCATCCTTGGCATGTGTGATGCTAGGTATCAACATGGCATGGCTTCCCTGTAGGAATTCAGTATTAGAGATTACTGTGGTTCTCTTAGCCAACGCATCCTAGGCTACACGTACACAATAAATCAGTTCTGTTTAACTGTCATGTGTGTGACTTAACTTTTTTTCTTTCTTTTAATCTTCTTGAAGTTGATCCGGCACTAACAAAACTCATATAAGGAATAACACTCTCCCTTAGAACCATGACGCTAAATATCAAGACAAGCAGATGCTTTAGACTTTGGGCACGAGGCAACTTTTATGTAAATGCGGCCAGGCTCTCCTAGTGGCAAATCCATAAATATTGTTAGTTGACGATTGAAGTACTTAGCATATCCATTTTTTTTAAAAATGATTTAAACCATGTGTCAAGTGTAAAGATAAGCAGACAATCCCTCTGACAGTTCCATAGGAAGGCAGCATGTCGCTAGTAGTTCCAATAAGTTATTAAGTTCCATTTAACATGTAGGCATCGTGCCAGTGGCAGATGTATGGCACTCGCTGGTCAAGAAACACAGTAAAAGTAAACTATGCAATCACCCCCCCCCCCCAAACCCAATCAGACGTAATTAAAAGTTAAAATTTAAAAAAAACAAAAACAAAAAAAAACCACTTTATTTTGGACTATTATAAAAAACTTGGGGAAGTTACCTGGGATGGCGTAACACTTCCGATTGGCGAGGGGGATCCAGAATCAGGGGGGAAGTTCAATGCGGTCAATCCTGGCCCATCGCCCATGAGCTTTGTCACGGACGATGTTTTAATGACGGTCATTTTGAAACTTCAGAAGCCGGGTTGGGGGCCGGTTAGAGACTGGTGGTCACATGAAGGCAATGTGGAGTTTTTCTTGAAATTTGAAAGTAAAGACATGATTATAAATAATTATACACGTACAACGTTGCCGTTTCAATCATACCATAGAATAGAATTAACACACAATTTCAGTCACTCTGGAACAAAAATAAGTGCAAAGAGTAAAGAGCCGAGGATCTTGACGATTTCACAATATAATATGCAGAGAATAACATGAAAAACTCGTACCTGTAAATATGCCAGTGTTCAGATGGGGGGAATCAGAATTCACATTTCAACTTCTAAAGGAATGACACTTTTTCTTTTATTTTTTTTTAAAAGGGACACTTGTCAATGACACCGCCTGGGGACATCTCGTAACTAAAGGCACGTCATGAAGGGAATGTGGGTGCCACACCGGTGCGCAACGGTGCTAAAAATGTGGTCTACTTAGTTCATGTGCAAATTTATGCCGTTTTATCAGCTGATATGTTATTTCACACGCTTGTGAAGAGTTTGGACTGTCAACTAATCTACAGAAAACAACTGTCATGATGCAAGAAGCGCCATCCTCTCCAATCATATCTATTGAAGGTCATAATCTGTCGATTGTTGAGCATTTCACATACATTAGATCCAATATTTCTAGTTCTCTATCCGTTGACCAGGATCGCAAAAGCAGCAGCAACTATGGCTAAACTGAATAAGCGGGTGTGGAATAATCTCAATCTAACAGATAAAACAAAACTAAGTGTCTATCATTCATGTGTGCTCTGTACGCTCTTAAATGGCAGTGAAGTGTGGACACCATATTCCATTCATGAGCGGAAACTCAAAAGCTTCCATCAAAGATGTNCAGTGCCAGAGGCGTAGCTAAGGGGTGGCAGGTGAGAAAAGCGTCTCGGAGCAACAGACTAGAAGGGGAACCAAAATGGGCTTTGATGGTATTAAAGGAAAATAATTAGTTTCAGAGTTAGGGGGGGGGGTGGCGGCGTAAATATAAATCACGTCCCTTGACGCAATACAATCTAGCTACACCCCTTCCAGTGGCGTTGAATGGAGGAGGATGAGGTTGTTCACCCAGTTATCACTTTTTCTTTAAATTGAGGTGCGGAATTTTCAGACAACTGCACAGTTTTTAGAGTGAAAGGGAGAGCGGCCAAAATATTTGGACCCCATGCTAATTCTATACTAATATTAGATATGCCTCGAGGAAGTGTATCTATCGTCAGCAAAATTAGCGATCATTTTCATCGGGGAGAGGGGTAGAAATCGAGCGCTCCGATGAATCTTGCTTTTATTTATATAAATAAAAACAAGACAACGATCATAAAGGTAAACTCAGCCAAACAAGAGCATAACTCTCTCTTAGGAAATGCACTGGAAGAAATGGAGGATTTCAAATACAATTGATCCCTCTAATCTCGACCTTGGTTAACTCGCCAACCCTGTTATGTCAACACTTTGAAGTGGAACCGCCAAATTCTCTCGTTGTCTTAGCATTTTATCATCGGCTATGTCGATTCGTTTATGTCGCCGAACCATGATATCTCGAGCACAATAGGCGGCCAAATTTGCCACTTAACGTCGGTTATCTTAATCCCCATGACCAATCACCAGCTTTTGAAAATTATATACAACAAAAACGTGCCTACTTCAAACTAGTAATTTAAATTAAATGACAATATTGTTGTCCGCGCAATTGACTTGACACAACGAGAAGCGGGGAGCGAGAGGCTTGCAGACAAAAGAGAGGGGTCGCAGTACCTGTTCTATTTATAGCGAACCCACTTGTCGCAGAATAGGCTTTCACACGTTCTTACACGTTTATTTATTTTATTTTTAAATTACAGAATCAGTATTTGAACAAACTAAGCTGGCGAATCCGGAGCGAGAGAAAAATAAAAACTCGCGAATCCAGAGCTGAAAAATATTTAGCCTCACGAATCCGGAATTCCGGGATAATCCGGAAATGGGGCAAACCACATATGCCTTGTGTTGTTAGCAAAAATGTATGTACATATACACGCCGATCGCTTCATCAAACAATTCGCGGTAAAAAAAAAAAAAAAGAATTAAAAAAAAACAAAAAAACCTGCATGTACATTCTCATTTATAAACGCACATCATGTACATCAAGAATAAGTTATTAAGTTCCATTTAACATGTAGGCATCGTGCCAGGGGCAGGTGTATGGCACTCGCTGGTAAAGAAAAACAGTAAAAGTAAACTATGCAATCCCCCCCCCCCCCCAAACCCAATCAGACGTAATTAAAAGTTAAAATTTAAAAAAAACAAAAACAAAAAAAAACCACTTTATTTTGGACTATTATAAAAAACTTGGGGAAGTTACCTGGGATGGCGTAACACTTCCGATTGGCGAGGGGGATCCAGAATCAGGGGGGAAGTTCAATGCGGTCAATCCTGGCCCATCGCCCATGAGCTTTGTCACGGACGATGTTTTAATGACGGTCATTTTGAAACTTCAGAAGCCGGGTTGGGGGCCGGTTAGAGACTGGTGGTCACATGAAGGCAATGTGGAGTTTTTCTTGAAATTTGAAAGTAAAGACATGATTATAAATAATTATACACGTACAACGTTGCCGTTTCAATCATACCATAGAATAGAATTAACACACAATTTCAGTCACTCTGGAACAAAAATAAGTGCAAAGAGTAAAGAGCCGAGGATCTTGACGATTTCACAATATAATATGCAGAGAATAACATGAAAAACTCGTACCTGTAAATATGCCAGTGTTCAGATGGGGGGAATCAGAATTCACATTTCAACTTCTAAAGGAATGACACTTTTTCTTTTATTTTTTTTTAAAAGGGACACTTGTCAATGACACCGCCTGGGGACATCTCGTAACTAAAGGCACGTCATGAAGGGAATGTGGGTGCCACACCGGTGCGCAACGGTGCTAAAAATGTGGTCTACTTAGTTCATGTGCAAATTTATGCCGTTTTATCAGCTGATATGTTATTTCACACGCTTGTGAAGAGTTTGGACTGTCAACTAATCTACAGAAAACAACTGTCATGATGCAAGAAGCGCCATCCTCTCCAATCATATCTATTGAAGGTCATAATCTGTCGATTGTTGAGCATTTCACATACATTAGATCCAATATTTCTAGTTCTCTATCCGTTGACCAGGATCGCAAAAGCAGCAGCAACTATGGCTAAACTGAATAAGCGGGTGTGGAATAATCTCAATCTAACAGATAAAACAAAACTAAGTGTCTATCATTCATGTGTGCTCTGTACGCTCTTAAATGGCAGTGAAGTGTGGACACCATATTCCATTCATGAGCGGAAACTCAAAAGCTTCCATCAAAGATGTCTGCGTCACATTCATCGTTTCTTTCAGACATTTTCCCCGGGGGGGGGGGGGGAGGGTGTTCAGTGCCAGAGGCGTAGGTAAGGGGTGGCAGGTGAGAAAAGCGTCTCGGAGCAACAGACTAGAAGGGGAACCAAAATGGGCTTTGATGGTATTAAAGGAAAATAATTAGTTTCAGAGTTAGGGGGGGGGGTGGCGGCGTAAATATAAATCACGTCCCTTGACGCAATACAATCTAGCTACACCCCTTCCAGTGGCGTTGAATGGAGGAGGATGAGGTTGTTCACCCAGTTATCACTTTTTCTTTAAATTGAGGTGCGGAATTTTCAGACAACTGCACAGTTTTTAGAGTGAAAGGGAGAGCGGCCAAAATATTTGGACCCCATGCTAATTCTATACTAATATTAGATATGCCTCGAGGAAGTGTATCTATCGTCAGCAAAATTAGCGATCATTTTCATCGGGGAGAGGGGTAGAAATCGAGCGCTCCGATGAATCTTGCTTTTATTTATATAAATAAAAACAAGACAACGATCATAAAGGTAAACTCAGCCAAACAAGAGCATAACTCTCTCTTAGGAAATGCACTGGAAGAAATGGAGGATTTCAAATACAATTGATCCCTCTAATCTCGACCTTGGTTAACTCGCCAACCCTGTTATGTCAACACTTTGAAGTGGAACCGCCAAATTCTCTCGTTGTCTTAGCATTTTATCATCGGCTATGTCGATTCGTTTATGTCGCCGAACCATGATATCTCGAGCACAATAGGCGGCCAAATTTGCCACTTAACGTCGGTTATCTTAATCCCCATGACCAATCACCAGCTTTTGAAAATTATATACAACAAAAACGTGCCTACTTCAAACTAGTAATTTAAATTAAATGACAATATTGTTGTCCGCGCAATTGACTTGACACAACGAGAAGCGGGGAGCGAGAGGCTTGCAGACAAAAGAGAGGGGTCGCAGTACCTGTTCTATTTATAGCGAACCCACTTGTCGCAGAATAGGCTTTCACACGTTCTTACACGTTTATTTATTTTATTTTTAAATTACAGAATCAGTATTTGAACAAACTAAGCTGGCGAATCCGGAGCGAGAGAAAAATAAAAACTCGCGAATCCAGAGCTGAAAAATATTTAGCCTCACGAATCCGGAATTCCGGGATAATCCGGAAATGGGGCAAACCACATATGCCTTGTGTTGTTAGCAAAAATGTATGTACATATACACGCCGATCGCTTCATCAAACAATTCGCGGTAAAAAAAAAAAAAAGAATTAAAAAAAAACAAAAAAACCTGCATGTACATTCTCATTTATAAACGCACATCATGTACATCAAGAAATATCAAGCACATGTTAATTTATTGCCGCTTTATTGGTTTTCGTTTTATCGGGATCATCGGTTACCCCGACGCTTTTATGGCAAACCCCGAGGCCGTCGAAATAACCGAGTCCGACTGTACTTAAGCAGAGCCATTGACTTAAATGGTGGATCCTAAGCGGATGTCAGGGCTAGAATTTGAAAGACTGTGGTATTGACGAAAACATGGGAGTCAAAGTAGCTGACTTTTTAAACCGAAGTCAGAAATTTCAACACAAATGTCAAAACAGTCCTGCTCTATGGAGCCAATACTCGGAGAACAACAGCGAGCATTACGCATAAAGTACAGACCTTCAAAAAAATTGCCTTAGAAAGATCCTGATTATCAAATGGCCAAACACCATCACCAACATAGACTTACTAGAAAGGACATACCAGAAGCCAATGGCTGGAAAAGATGGTGGTGGATAGGGCGTAGTTGTGTTATGCAAATATTGTTTTTATATTACTAAATAGTAATGTGGCTTTCATTTTTTTTTAAATTTAAACCTTTTAGGTGGGCTACCTGCATAGTTAATAAATTAATTTTAAAAAAAAATCTCACAAAAAACACTGCTGACATCATTTTATGTTGAACGTAAATGAAAAAAAAAATACTTATAATAATCACATGACGTGAAATAATTACCTTTGTTAGATATTTCCAAGTTTTACCATAGTCAAAA